AGGTCTATGAGCTGAAGGCAATACTTGGATAGTCGCGGATACCCCCCAAGCTGTCAACCAACACGCAGGTGCGGTCACGGAACCACAATCTGGCCTACTTGCAGTGGACGCAGACGAAGAACGTCGCGTGCTGGAGGTGGTGAAGAAGAGGGCAGGAGTGTACAAAGACAAGGGTTCACACCAGGAGTTTGCCGAAGTTGTTCTAATCACCGCTGCGAACTACGCATATTTTTCCATTTATAACAACTGGCGCTGCAACGCTGAAAAGCATGGTTTGGATTGGGCCGTCATAGCCAATGACGAGAAAGCATTTGAAGAGCTGGGGCCTGACCAGGGCATGCTGGCCATCGGAGAGAAAGTGAGTGGAATGAATGGCTGGGGTAGTGCAAAGCTAGACAGTGTTGGGAGGAACAAAATGTTCATGGTGCTGACCATCATGAGGATTTCTGGCTTTGGGGTCGTGTTCACTGATGCTGACAACATGTTTCGTGGTGATCCCTTTGCACAAGGTGTGCATTTGGGAGACTTGATCCGGAGCGGCAAGTATGACTACATCTACCAAGAGGAGCTGTCGAAAGCTCCTGACAAAGGTCATGTTGTACCCGGCGACGGTGGCAACACAGGCTTCTTCTATGCGACGCCGCGCAACAACAAGAAGATGATCTCCTTGTTTGCTGACGTTGTGGCGGAGGTTGACCGCCAGCGAGAGGATGCTTTCCGACGCTATGGAGAGCGATTGGGTGCAGATCAACCCATCTTCTGGCAGGTCATGCAGAAGCTGCGGAGTACAGGCCTGCTGTATCTTGCTCTCTTGTTTCGGAGCAGCTAACATGCTTGAGATTTAGATGCTGAAGATGTAGAATATTAATCACAGCTTGTAGCGATTTTTCTTTTCAGGCGGAAAAGTTGGGCCGGGCAACTTCAAATGCGTCCAGCTCTGTGGCAATAGAGCCACGTGTGATGCATCAGAAGAAGACACCATGAAGCTGGGGCACTCAGATTGTGTCGTTTTTCTTGGACTGAGAGTAACTGGATCCTTCGAAGGTACTGCTCCATGGATCCCTTTATGCATCCCACAGGGTGGGAAACTCCTCCAGAGGAGAGTGCTCGGTCAATATAGAATGCAAATCGTGTTTAGCCATGGTCAATTATTGGGCATTCGCAGTGTACACAGTGCATGCAGCCGATATGCAGCATACAAATTGGGCAGTGTACGGATTCGGATGCCGATTTGCTTTTCAGTGAGGAGCGAGTGACGTACCATGCCAACTATGCTGCCAATGAGGAAAAGATTGGCAAGTTGAAAAAAGGCCACAAGAAGTCTGTAGTCCTTGATTCCAAGCGCAAGCGGAGCTGTATGTATATATGTGATGTGAACACATCCACAGAAATGAACAAGTCTACCACAGGTCAGACATGAACTGATACCGGGTTCTTCAAAAATAACAGCCACCAAGTAAAGGGCTATAAGAATTCTTCAGTCCCCCTGACTACCCTGTTTCAATGTTGCGGATGGGGCTTCTGATATTATGTGCTGACATGTGTAGTTAAGTTTCCCTAAGAATCTGCTGGTAGGATCTGGTAGGAACCAAATGATTAGTATATTAGTGCGAGCGCTATCCTGCGTCCATACTAGTAGCTTACTTGTAGGTACTAGCTACCTCTCCCTTACTTGTATAATTAAGTAGGCGCCTACTTAATTAAGTAGGGAGGGGGGGAGCGGGCCCCAAAAAAGGTAAGACAAAAGTAATTGTTTCTTCCCCAACTGTCAGGTGAGGGTTGTTAGATTTTATGTCAGCTCCTTTCCTCCACCCCCGCCTCCACCTCCGCCTCGTCCGCCTCCTCACCTCAACCGCTAGTTCCGCGAGTTGGTTGTCAGTTTTCCCCGCCGGACCTCGCTTGGCAGTGTTCCCGGCCGGACCTCAACCGCGAGCTTCGGCTGGCAGTGTTGACCTCAACCGCCAGCTCCAGATCACAGTGGGCACTGCCTGACCTCAACCGCCAGCTCCCGATTGCAGTGGGCGCCGGACCTCAACGGCCAGCTTCAGATCGCAGTGGGCACCGCCGGAAATCGCCAGATAGAATAGAATGTTAGAAGTTATGCCAGGTAGAGTGTCAGAATTTATTCCAGATAGAATGTCAGAAACTTATGCCAGATAGAATGTCGGAATGTACGCCAGATAGACTGCCAGAATGTGCCAGAGTATTTGCAAGAGTGTGTGCCAGATAGAGAGCTGCAAGCAGTTATGGTAGATAGAATGCCAGCAACTTTGCCAGATAGAACTCAGAGCATATGCCAGATAGAACGTTTGATTTTAGATGATTTTAAGCCAGATAGACTGCCAGAATATCTTTGATGGCAGAACAAATGTTGGAAGACGTGTCAGAACACATACCAGGACTGAAGTTGGTCCATATGTCACAGCACATGTCAGACAGGGAAAATGTCAAAACACACGCCGACAAAGATGTCAGAACACAGTCCAGAACGTTCCCTAGCCTTTGTGATAGATGATGTGTCAGAGCACAAACCAGAGTTCCTGCCAGAACAAAGGTCAGAACATCGTGTCAACCCACACAAATCGCCTGTCAGGGTGGAGATCACTCGAAGTAATGTATTTTTTGAAGGCTGGCTGTGGGGTAAAGATACTCGAATTAAAGACAACGAAGTTGGGGGTAAAGGGGTTGGAACGGTTTTCCATGGAACAGCTCTTGCTGTGGTTGCTAAATGTGTGAGCTGGATATACTTGGTCTCCGATTTTCGAAAAATCGAAAAGTGCACGAAAAGGCAACGATAATAAAAAGAGTCGCCCGCCAAAAGGTTCCGGGGCCTGCTGGGTCCTTTTGGCGGGCGTCTCTTTTTTGAAGGCGTTCCTGCTCGAGGCTGACTCACTTTGACACGGCTGGAGATGTCTGGAAAACAGCAACCTATACCTGACCTATATCTGTAGGAACAAAAGCAACGTTTGGATCAATTCTGCTAGACTTTTGTTGAGGGGCACGGCATGTGACTGGTGTCCAAAAATCTCGAAAAGTATCGAAAAGTCTAGAAAAGTCAGAAGGTCTGGAAAAATCGAAAAGTCTCGCTGCGTGCTTTCGTTTCCTTTACTTTTTTGTTTTTTTGACTTTTCTAATTTTTTTGCGTTTTGCTTGGTGTCTTGCAAACAGATCGTCGCTAAAGGATTTCGTGAGCTTATGCAAGCTTAGCCTAGCTCTTGCGATGCTTGTTTTTTTACTTTTAAGCCCGGTATGACCAGAAGAAGAGAGCTTTCACCATTTTGCAGCAATTTCATGGGGGCTTCCACGTCTTGTGTTGCAGGCGGGTGTTTGGGACGCATGGTCTTCGAAAACCAACCTGTGCAAAGATCGTGGGTCCTCTGACGCCACCCGAAGCACGAATGCCGAGGGCACACAGGTGGGGTGTACCAAGCTTGCTAAACGAGAAGCGGGTCGCCTCCAATGTTGGGTGAAAGGAGGTTGAGGAAGCGTGGACCGTAGGCGGTCGTAGTTATGTCAACTCAAGCGATTGCTGGAAGATACGATAAACGTTGGATGCAGTGGTCGACAGATGTAGGTCCCTGCCACAGTCGTGACTGATGCTGGCCCTGCATCAAAAGAGATGGAACCCGTGCTGCTCGCTTAGATTCTCTTTGATTTTCTAGTGTCGTGCAGAGCACCAGCAGAGAATTGAGTAGCATATTGCATCCTGGCCTATTCTGTAGATGTGGGAAAGTGCAGAAATTGAATACTTTTACCACTTTCGTAAGTTTTAGTACTTTTTGTATGACCCTCTAATGGGAAAAGCTCCAAGGCTGCGTTGCCTCCGACAGACAACCCCCAACTTGAAGACATTGATCTACCCAACCGATGCAGAAACGCACTTCGAGGAGCTTCGACAGGCCGAGTTGCAGTTGTCAAACTAAATAGGTACACTGGCTGTGTTGAATTACCTCGATCTCATCTTTCAAGAATTGGTGGAGTTTAAATAAAGGGCTTTACACGTTGGCCTGGAAAAGTTTAAGTATTCCCCCTTTCAATTTGAATTGTTTGGCTATGGCTGTTACAGTGATGAAAACTCCTTTTGCTGAACCCCTTCAGTGCTGATAGCAAGGTGCTCAGTCCATGGTTTGATTACGCTGCAAAGAAGTTCATGGCTGACATGAAGAATCCATACCATTGTCCCTTGGGTTGATTTTTGCAGAGAGCAGGGACGCAAGGCAATTCAAGATTAACTGGGCAGAGTGTCTTGAGCCCTAGTGCCACGCTAGTAGTAACAGGTGCCACGCTAGTAGTAACAAGTGCATCGCTAGTAGTAACAAGTGCATCGCTTGTAGTAACAAGTGCATACTGAAATCATCCAAGTGATTTCCGATTTCCAGACACCAAGGTGGAGAAGGCTATTGCGGCCCGTGGATCGAAAACCGCTGGATTAAACGCTTCCTTGGAGGCCGGAGACAAAATGTTCCAAAGAGACTTTGGTACCAATGGGTATATCAAGAGATGACATCAAAGGAGAGATTGAGCTTTCATGTTCAAGGCTTGAGATCTTCGAAAATCCAAAACAGTTTCGGATCTGAACGCATGTTACTTAGTCTTAAGCCTCAGAGTGCCTTGTCTTAAGGCTGGGAGAATCGCAGCTCCCAAGTTCGCTTAGCCGACATCTTTGGGCTCCTGGGATTGCATAGTACAGATACCACGGCTGTCCATGCTGTGAACAGTTGACTGATGGTTTTGGTTTGAGCCTCAAAGCAGCTGAGCATCAGTATTCAGCCTCTTTGCCAAACACGCTCTTGGACTGAAACCAATGGGAGACCTGGTTGCAACTAGTAGACTGCTGAGAAGACAACAACTGAGGCCCTTCATTCCCATCTTCATGACCTATGTCGATTTGTGGGTTGCCAATGTTTTCGAATATGTGGCCTGGCAAAGCCTCAGGGCGAACCGCGAGGTTGGTGTGCACTGTTTTGTGCACAAGAAGGTCAATACAGAGGTATTTGACTTTAGGCAATAACTCCAGTGACAAGGAATCCTTGGTTGGATTGACGAACAATCTGCAACCTGAACTTTCTTAGCACGCTAGCATGGAAAGAACTAAGGAAAACATGATTGCTGCATTGCGACAGGCTCTAAGGCAAGGGCACATGTTGGGACACAGGACCGACCGCAGAAAGGTCTCGTCAAGATCATCAAGCTTGCGAACGAACAAATCACTAGGCTTTCAGTAGGTGACTGTGAAGAACATGACCGAACATGTCACTCAATGTGATGCAGATGACCATGCCCCCTGCCAATCCCAGTATGTCACATGTGAAGTCAGAGCTAATGTTGACTGTGAAGACGACCCCACTTTCACAAGCAGTTTCTGAGGCAAGGTTCCTAAGCGTTGCGACATTTCGATGATTGCGAGGCCCAATGTTGCCTACATCACGGTTGTGCAGCATGATACCGGCCTGGTGTCAAGCCGAGAGCCGTAGCTGCACTTTGTTCCAGTGCTAGGATTCGGCAAAACCGGATTTTTCCGGGGAGTGGAGTGGTATCCTTCTTTCCTTGTGACATGCATGTCAAATTATTCTTTATGGCTTCGCCATGCCTTGCCCAAATTTGGAAAAGGAGAAAATCATCAAGATCATGAAGGAGATTCCAAACGTTTCAACCTTATGCTGGAAGGGCAGCTCATAGATGCTCATAGAAGGGTGACTGCAAGGTGTTCAAAATCTGAATTCAGGTCCTTGTGTTAAGCGCTGGTGGATATGGGCACGTGCCTATCCCGCTCTTCAAGCAACCCGAGGAGAGACTTACCTCTTGCCTGACATTCACAAGCTTTGCTGATGTTCGTGCTGTGTGCTGAACCTGCGGAAATGCCACAAATGGGACGGCTAAGTGTTTTGCAGGATTTGCTGGGGAAGCGCTTTTTCAAGGAGATGAGTCAGCGAAGCCTGCTGACATCCTACATGGGCAGCTGCCCCAGGTGGTGCCGCACGCTATGAGTTGAGTTGCACATGGACGTGCTGAGGCTCCGACCACAATGCACCGCAGGAGCGTGTTTGAAGACTCGAAGACTTCCCCCCCCAAAAAGGCTATTTGGCAGTTATGAAGCAAAAGCTTCTTGCTACTAGTAGCGATGCCAGGAGCCCCTAGTAGCGCCCTTGCTCCTAGTAGTAAGGCCAGGAGCCCCTAGTAGCTTCTAGCCAAACAAAGATAAGGCAGGTCTTTTTCACGTCAGGAGATGAGAAAGAAAATGATCAAGGTGGTCAATGATGAGGCCAAGACGCTTGGAGTCAAGGTACGGAGCCTGATCTCCCTGCGTTCCTGTGTTTAGCGCTTGTGTTTCTTCGTCATGGTCACCCCGGGCAATCACCTTCTAGGTTCATACTGGCTTCGGCAGTGCAGACGAGTGGCACAAGGTGGCAGGCAATTCCAAGGCAGGCTTGGCTTCATAGCCGTCCCCAGACCTAGTACCCACCAACATCAAAGAGATATAAAGAGGGTATGAGGTTTGGTAGTAACAAAAAGCTATTAGTAACAAGTGCATCGCTAGTAGTAACAAGTGCCTTACTAGTAGTAACAAAAAGCTATTAGTAACAAGTGCATGGGTGAGATGAGTGAGGTTTGGTGCGTCACATGCCAATGTGTTGTTCCGCACCAGTCCCACGGAGTCCTATACGGACTGCCGTTGGACGTGTTGATGCTGAACGCTTCCAGGTGAGCCTTTGTCCCCGTGGCTACGGCCGAACTGCCTTTCACCTTTTCGAAATTTTGCAGCCACTCTACCTGCAGAGGGAAGTTTATCATTACCATGACACGGTGTCACGGTGTGAATTGTTTGCATGCTTCTTGTTGACAACTGTCTCGCGGGTATTTTGTTTGCTGATGCCAGCTCAGGCTGGGGCTGATTCCTGTGCACGTCGAGAGCTCAATGACTAGATTGTTATTGTGATTCTTTAGGACATTTTAGGATCTAAAATGATCTAAAAAGCACCGCCTCGATGAAACGCATCTGAGACAATCGCATCTTAGCCTCTTAGCTCGATTCACATCCGAGACAATCTCCGATTCCTGTCGTTCTAAGAGATTTCTCGAGGTGTATTTGGATATTCCCTGGGTGCCGTATGCAGGAGGGGAGATGCTGCTAGACTGCTGTCTTTTCGGGAGCTTGTGGAAGCCAACCAATAAGTGCTGAATCGAGAGCATGGCATTATTTTTGTGACAGTTTGTGCTTGCAGTTGAACTGTCCAGCGAGACCGTTGGTGGCATTTGATAGCAGATGGATGTTTGACGTTGCCAATAGATTGCTCCTCAGTGAAGCAACCTGCAAGTGGAGCATCGTGCATCCCCATACCGATGGCGAAGCTGCGAAGGTAAAACATGTTTTTTTTTGGAGTCGAAGTGCAGATGCTGCCTGTGCAGATCTCTACAGCTCCATCGGCTTTAGCACAGACGTCCAGGGTTTGCCAGCTCTCATGAAGCAGATCAATGGTGTGGACGCTCAGATCGTCGCTGTACCGCTCAAGAATGGCACGAAGAGATGCTTGAATCCGAGGAGAAACGAATAGCACCAAAAAAATTAAAAAAGATAATTATTTGGAATGGTGTAGTTACAAAACGTGCTTAGATGCATGACAATCCTGGCTTCGTATTGAACTTTACTTGGCCTTAGAGTCGTAGAGCTTTACCACGCTTTGCGTGCCGTGTGATGTAATTGTGTGTCTTGGCTTTTGACTCAGATATGGATCCCAAAGATTTGGAACGCATGGAGGAGTGGCCTTGAAGTGTGTAAGACCTCATTCAATAGATTTGAAAGGAATTATTGCATATCACCTTAATCTTGCAAGCGATTTTGGGTGGGGTAGACTCTGCGTCTACCACTGCCAGGACAAGATCCGTTCACTGAGGCGCTTCAAGTCTGACCATTTTAATGTTTTCAGTGGTTTTTTGTTCCTCATGCTCCACTTTTGGCCAAAGATCTGGTGAAAGTCTCGGTTGATTGGTTGATTGCTCCGTAAGGCTTCACTTGAGGATAGAGTCTAGTGATTGGACCTGAGTCAGGTCCAGCCATTTTACAGATGAAGGCTTGCTTGACCAGATTTCGAACCTTGGCTGATCTAATTATATAATGTTTGCTAATCCTGAAAGCGAAGGCCAAGCAACGGTGCAATTGCTTCACCTTGGAGTTCTTTCGATCAGCTTCCGAGGCTTTTTATGAAGGGCGGAAGTGATTTGAGATGCCAGAAAGTGCCTGCAACGATGAACGGATGACTAAGGCCTTGAAACAAAATAGGTCCAAAGGGCTTGAGATGCCACGCGCCCAACGCTCGCACGATGGAAGACATGAACTATGTTTTGTTATTTTCTGGAGTGACCACTGTATGTGACATGTTCAGCACAGATTCCTGCCTCTACGTTTGCATCTCGTTTGTTTGAACACACAGTTCTGCTTTCCGAATGTACCGTTTTTGGCTCAAGGCCGAAAGACTCTTGCGGCCAAACACGCCAGTGATACACACGCGGGTTGTGACCCAGGAAACCCACTGCGTCAATCAGCCCGCTGTGGTCACCCAAACCACCTGAAGCTTCGCCAGGGCACGAAGAGAGCCCTGGCTTGACTTGTGTGCCAAAGCCAGCGTTTGCGATTGTTTGTGAAGTTGCAGACGTTGCTTTTTTGTCCAAAACGACTTATCCGCACTTTCACTCACCAATTGGACAGAAAAGTTGTTGTCGACGTTGGCTTGGCGCAAAAGTTACATCACCTTAGCCCAAATTCTTTGGACCTCATGGTTCCAATGCTACTCTTTGAGCCTTGGCCTGATTCCAGTCGATTCGATTCTGTTTCAATTTGACTGAGATGAAAGACCTGGACTTCAGCCTTCGTAATGGCATCCAACCAGCCATTATCTTCTCCCCAGCAAGTGCCAGACAGAATATTTCTGTTTGCCTGCCCCTCAAACAAATAGAGTGGGTTTGAACTCCCAGACGTGTTGATGACATGCATTATTGGAACCAATTCAAGGTCTTTGCGTTCCAGACTAGTACTGTAAGACTTTCTCGGTTCGGCTTTGGAGACCTGTCGGAGAATGTCCAATCAAATCTAATGAGATATAGTTATAGAGCCCTGCAGCTTTTTGACTCAGGACACGTTATTGGTTTCGGCCTCAGTGCAAGAACTGATGAGAACTGTAAACTCGTTGCAAAGCACACTTTGCCAGCACACAAAGTAGGGCAAAGTAACTACCAATGAGAAGGCTTGTCGGCTTGTGGCATGCACGCGCTGCAGATTCACCAGTGTTTGCCAAATCGCCTGTGCCCCCCCAATGCATTTTTGGAGGGAATACTCCAATGTTTTGTTTAGAACACGGTTATCACTGTTTCTTACTTGGCTTTGTCATTTACATTATATTGACGGATGTTGTGTTTGGCTCAGGTTGGCTTAGGCCGTGTCTTCCTGGCGGTTGCTCTGGCCGCCAGTTTGTTCGCAGGTCTGCGCTGCTTAGGCGAAACGGGCTGTCGTTGCATGGATCCTGGCGTCTGGTGCACCTTTGCCACGACGCCATTTTGCTGATCATGTCGCTGTATGGACAGCTCTGTGGAAGGGGAAGGATGGCCATAGTTACTAAAGTTGTTGCATACCTGTTGCCAAGGGATGTGGGTCCAGATCTCAAAGCGTGAATAGCAAGTTCAGGGATTAGAGCTGTTTGATACTTGTTTTGCGTTCCTGGTTTAGCCTCAAGGATAATGTTGGAAAGCTGTGCTTTGGTTTAGACAGATACAGAAAAGAGTGTGAGGTTTCGCTTGCCAGAGGCACATATGATGTCTATGGAGTGGAGACCAGATGAATGGCATTCTAAAGCAGCCATTGGCTTTGACGTCCAATCTTTTCTTTGGAGGCATTCAGCCGTCCACAGCGCATGGCACCGAGCCCAGCGTCTTCATTGAAGATATGAGGCCAGGATTGCTTGCAGTGACATCCTGCGGAGCGAAAAAGTAGGACGGCTTCAATAGGCAATCATCACGTATACTGAATACTGATACTATATAGTATAGTATAATATAGTCTATTCACATGACGCTTGATACTCCACCTGAAAGAGGCTTTCTCCAATTCAACAATCTTAAATACCGAAAGCAACTTTCTGTCCATGATTTAGACTTTCAATTGTCAATTTCGGAAGTGGTCATTGCAAGAAGCCTGCACTGTCAGGTTTTTGACATCTTTTGGCCTTGGCCTGAGTTTTATTCCAACAGTGTTGGTTGGGGCAAAGCTGGAGGGGAGAGCAGATGCCAGGGGGGTCATTCTGGAAGTCTATTTGGATGTACTAGTACCACCGTTTACCCTTGGAGACGTCTATTGTTGCTTTGTTTACGTTGCTGAGGTCTGGGAGTGTTGATTAGTTGTGTAGCTGATCGGGGCAAGGCAGGGAGTTGCAAAAGGACTCTTATACTGAATCACCTGAAATCTTCTACTAGCAAGGACGCTACTAGTAGCTCCTGGCCTTACTACTAGGAGCAAGGCTGCTACTAGTAACAAAGGGCATCGCTACTAGTAACAAGGAGCTACTACTTGACACAGGGACTTATTCTACTCGTTTTCAATCTTGACTGCTTGTTTATGATATCCGTTAAATAATCCAGTACCTCAACCCCACGAAATAGTACAAACCATTTTCCGAAACACACGTACGTCCAGGACTTCATAACAGGGATGGGTTTTGATCCGGCATTCCCAAAGAGTACCTTGGTCCAGAACTTCAGAAAAGCTAGATAAATGATGATGTGACTTGACCATCATTTTTTTGGGCGTCGTACCTTGGGCCACTAAAAAAATAAGGACATGACCTCAGTCCCGAAGGATTTTATAAAATAAAGTCCTGAGTTCGACGTTTGGGGATTATTCAACGGGTATTTTATGGCACCCATACGCATATGTGCGTTGACTCCACAGGCACCGCAAAGCTTGTCACTGATCGGCTTCATGCTTTGAAGGCCTGAAGTTTTGCAAAAAGGTCGCTGCAAGATTCGGCCTGGTTGGTGATGATCACACCTGAGCCCCGCTACCTTTGTGAGGCATGGCGGGGTATCTGACAACAGTACATCGCACGCTGGTAGCTTGCTTGATCAATACCGAGAGGTGAGTTAAGTATAGTCATTGCAAGTCAGAATGCTACTTGACTTGTAACTAGTTTGCTTTTTGGACACTCCGAATTTCTGGGCGTAGTGTCTTGCTGATTGGCAGATCAATGTTTTGCAACCTTGTGCTGTGACGGTTTGCCATACTGAGGACTTGGCAATGGCTCTTCTCTGATTGATTCGAAGGATCATACAGCCCGGAAAAAGGGAGCCACGGGGTTTGCAGTGGTCGTGCTTGTGCCGTGTAACTCCATTGCAATTTGGTTTCGCAACTGTGCAGCAAATTGCAGACCGATCGCTGTGACCCAAGACGGGGAAATCTATGAAGTATTGATGGAAGGCTGGGCAGGTAGCATTGCCCGACCATCCTGAAGCGATGCAGCCCGTGTACGAGAGAACAGACGTTCCACTTGTTGAAGCTCATCACTCATGCGTCATGGAGCTGTACAACCAAGGGGCATACAGTCATCTTCACCCTCGAATGAACATGAGGTACAACGCACGGACTAAAATCGTTGTCATTGTAGGGCACAGTCAATTCCATTATTTCCATTTAAGTCCATGTCAATGTTGCTAGAATGCATCGACCTCCTCAGATCGGCCAACAGGCATTCAAGAACTAAGTCATTGGTGAAGTTCAATACACCTGGAGTCTGTACTCGGAGCTGCTTTACCTACCTCTTCTTTTGGGTCTTTGTTTGGACCTTGGAAGGCTAATCAGGGCTTCGGATGTTTGAAATCTGTTTAGCCTGTCCTAAGAAGTACCTTGGCATGATCAAGCTGGAGGCCCTTAGGTTTAGCCTTTCTATCTTCCGCGCTGGCCCTTTGTTGACCAATGTGCAGTACCTGCATTGAATCACATTGAATTGATCGTAAGACATCATTTCCTTATATAGGTTATCTCTCGTTTTCAGCCCGTTGACCATACATAAATATTTGCCGTGCTGAAAGCTTAGCCGTTTGCGGCTTTGCTTCTGTGCTAGCCAGCCAGTGCCGTTTCACTTCAATGGCCACTTTAATGTGAGCGCAAACACTGTGAAATGTCTATGAAGTGTCCCATCACCATCAACAGTCGGTAGAGGTTATCACTATTTTTGAGACAGGCCGTTCCTAACATAATGGGATATACCCAAGTCTATGGTATCAAAAGCATGGGGCAATGAAAGCGACCGAAGTGGCCATGGCGACAGTCACGTCGCCGAAAGCGACCGCCCCAAGAAAGTCGTGATGTCTGGGGGGAATCTTGGGGCTTGCCGGGGCCAACCAAAGCTCACCCGAAGTGGAACGCTAGGTTTCTTGAGCCTGAGCTGCTTAAAACCGTTTGTGCGCCATCGCGAGTGGGGCATGAAGGTTGGCAGCAAGGTGGAGGCTCTGAGCTCTCAAAGCTTGCTGATCAGAGGCATCATTAGTTGTGATGAAGGCCACTTACTTTCTACTCGTACATCTTATTCCGAATCTTTTCCTGCTCTGATTTCTACCCATGATTGCTGGCGTCGATGTCAATGTCCTTAAACGTCAACCCAAGCTGCCGCCAATATCAATAAGCTGTTCCTTCCGTGTATCTCATATCATCAACCTCACACGGCATGGGAGAACTGAGGACTTTGGGTTGAATTACTTCGCTGAAGTTCCTTTGCGGTGTTTAATTGAGAATTTTTGAGATAGCTAGGTATACCCTCCAGCATCAGTTCTAAGAATGTGGAGAGTCTTTGCCAAGAGTCCTTGAATATTTTGAAGCCACACGTCAAGCTTCCAGAACAAGAACAAGTAGAGACAAGAGTGAATCTCCTGCAAGCTTTTAGTCCCAGGAGCTACACAATACCACCCATTACAAGTATTGCTGAGGTGGTTCAGAAGATCCCTTGAGTTGCACATTTGGTTGGCTAGAGGCTCTGAGAGTGTTGAGAGTGTGAGCCTCCAACTAGACAGCCCCGCGCACGAAGCTGATTTTGCGGCTCGTGGTGTCTCCTGCATTGAGCACTTGCACATACTTGCGCCATGTGTGTCTAATATTTAGTTGATAGTATATATAGATAGTGTCCAATTGTGCAACCTGCTGCGTGCTTGGCCCTTGCTACACCATGGGAGTCCGCAAGCCGCAGGAGCTTCGGACCATACAATGGTCCTTGATTAGA